GTGAATAAAAATAAAAGTGATGATTCTAATAGATAAAAACAACATACTTGACCGAGGGATTCGTTTTATTTACAATGCTGGTTATATCTTGTTGCGATTTTATCTGCTGAGAATATTGTCTATCGTGTGAGATGAAACGGAGAAGACAAACACTTTATCGCGGATACACAGACTCTGAAACCGATCCAGTTTATTCATTTTTTTTACAACCTGGAGATGAGACTAACTTAGAATTCCTAAAAAAAGAAAAGAAAAAAAAAATCTTATAAATTTGTTACGTCATATAAAACTATAAAGAAACAATCACAACAGTAATACATAAAAGGGAGATCGCTACCAACACTCATGAGAGAGAATAACCAATCTATCGACCAGCTTTATCATAAACCTCTAGAAGTCAGATTTGCCACCACGATACAGGAACACTTAAACAAATCATCTGTCTGGGACAAATGATTGAAATATTCTTTGAATTCTGTACACCGCTATAATGTATGTAAATCTTAGAGAATTTTCGACTCTATGGAACTACCTACTTACTGGACTTAACTGGACAGGAGTATAAGAAAAAAAATGTCCTTGTCTTGAGGAGAAACCCGAGGAGTTAATCTTTTTTGTGCGTTTTCCCTGTTATGGATAAGCAACTGAATACGTTAAGGGGAAGGAGATTAATCCTATACCTTATAAAACAAAATTTAAACAATGTTTACAGTAGTACTTCTATTATGTTTCGGTTTATGCATTTATTTCTAAGATTAACAGAATGAGACCAAAGTCAACTTTCTACGATAAAGCTGTGTGGTAAAATCACATATATGAAAATAAGAACTGTGAACACCAAGAACCTGATGATTTTCTTCCCAGGAGCTTTATATATGTGTGTGTTTGTGTTGGTGTGTAGCTACGTTGTCAGGATCCCGGAATTACCCAGAATTTTACCCTGGCGATTCGGTTCGTTGCGCAACACCGATCTCTTTTCCTCTTTTTCTCTCTCTTTAATGCTCTTTAAGCGGCATACATTGAACAGGCCACATGCGTTTCGGTGCAAAGGTAAAAATGTTTGACTGATTTTGTTCATCAGCAAAGGAGGTATAAACACACATACACGCATATATCCATACACACACACACACACACACACACACACACACACACACACACACACACACACACACACACACACACACACATACCCAGACACACACGCACACACACACACACACACACATATATATATGTATGTGTGTGTGTGTGTGTGTGTGTGTATCACTAATTTGAGCTTTAGGGGATATGTACTATACGTATATGCCATGCCCAATGTTTTGTTTATTAACTGAAATTACACGTATGTGGCTCTACAAGTGTTTATCTACCATACCATGGAATCAATTATTAATCTAACCTATCTCACCAGTTTATCCATTTCTTTGATTTTTGCAAACATGTATTTTTACACTTATTTTAGTATTGGTTATAACATTGTAATATCATAATGTCAATAATAATAATGCTAATAACATCGTCTATATTAATCACGAGAGGTCACGCAAGTCTTCTAATTGACTTCTTGGTGACCTTTTTTGACCTCTTGGAGCTAATACATTTCACAAAATAATATTACAGTGAGCATAATCTTCGGCATTGGGTTAAGCTCACGCTCCTCCTGAACGTTTTCTGTGCTATGATCAGTGCTGTTGACACCTCTCCTCCTCTAGTATTTTCCCCTTATAGTAATATATACATTTAATATCCATTATTCAATGATGTTTCATTGTTTTCTTTTGTGTCACTCGGCGACCCCATAACTTGAGGTTACTCGTAAAAAAATGAATATTAATTCCTTCCCTACCAAAACAATGGTAAAGAAGATGGTACACTTGTTTGAAAATTATTAGTTAGATAACTGAGGACTACTGAATTTTTTTTTTCATAATATGTACCGTAATTTCGGCGAAGTGGCTAACATTTCCTTTTTATTTCTAAGAACTAGCAGTCGCTATGCCGACCACACACACACACACACACATACACATACACATATGTGTGTGTGTGTGTGTGTGTGTGTGTGTGTGTGTGTGTGTGTGTGTGTGTGTGTGTGTGTGTATGTGTGTGTATCACTAATTTGAGCTTTAGGGGATGGTATGTACTATACGTACATACCATGCCCAATGTTTTGTTTATTAACTGAAATTACACTATCTCACCAGTTTACCCATTTCTTTGATTTTTGCAAACAGGTATTTTTACATTTATTTTAGTATTGGTTATAACATTGTAATAATTATAATGACAATAATAATAATGATAATAACATCATCGATATTAATAGCATTATGAAAACATCATGAAAACACAAGGAAGAGGGAAATCACGAAAGGTCACGTAAGTCTTCTAGTTGACTTCTTGGTGACCTTTTTTGACCTCTTGGAGCTATTACATTTTACAAAATAATATTACAGTGAGTGAAATATTTTCGGCATTGGGTTAAGCTCACGCCCCTCCTGAACGTTTTCTGTGCTATGGTCAGTGCTGTTGACACCTCCCCCCCCCCTCTAGTATTTTCCCCTTATAGTAATATATACATTTAATATCTATTATTCAATGATGTTTCATTGTTTTCATGTGTGCCACTCGGCGACCCCAAAACTTGAGGCTACTCGTAAAAAAAGGAAGATTAATTCCTTAACTACTAAAACAGTGAAGATGGTGACTTGTTTGAAAATCATTAGGTAGATAGCTGAGGACTACTGACATTTTTTTTATAATACCTATCGTTATTGCGGCGAAGTGGCTAACATTTCCTTTTTCTTTCTGATTTCTAAGAACTAGCAGTCGCTATGCCGACAGATATCAGTAATGTGGTATGTTATAACCCAAATAACAAAATCTGACACTTTTAATAATAATCCTATGAGTATAAGCGATATAGTTCATGCGTTAGTGTTATTTTCCAATATTTCTCTAAACAAATTCTATTTTTAATCCTTCGTAGGTTTTACAAAGATGGTCTGCGCTAAGCCCTTAATCAACTGCTGCCGAATCAGACAGTCCTTAGCTCTTATTTATCGTAGATTATTCGTTTTTGGAGATGAAAAAAAAAATATATATACATACATATATACACATGTGTGTGTTTATGCACACACACACACACACACACACACACATACACACACACACACACATATATATATATATATATATATATATATATATATATATATATATATGTATATATATATATATATGTATATATATATTTATATATATATATATATATATATATATATATATATATATATATATATATATATATATATATATATATAGTATATGTATATATATATATGTATATATATATTCATATATATGTATATATATATATATATATATATATATATATATATATATATATATATATATATATATATATATATATATGTATATATATATATATGTATATATATATATTTATATATATGTATATATAGTTTAAATTTTGTTTCATAAGGTATAGGATTAAATTCCTTTCCTTTAACGTATTTATTTGTTCATCTATAACGGGGAAAACGCACACAAAAAATTTAACTTCTCGGGTTTCTCCTCAAGACAAGGGCATTTTTTCTTATACTCCTGTCCAGTTAAGACCAGTAAGTAGGTCGTTCCATAGAATCAAAAATTTCCTAAAATTTACAGACATTATGGCGATGTAATGACTTCAAAGAATATATTTTTTTTCCAGACAGATGATTTGTTCAATTGCTAGAGAAGGCTGGGATGAATTTAAATCTGACTTCTAGAGGTTTATAATAAAGCTGGTCGATAGATTGGTTAGTCTCTCGTGAATGGTGGTAGCGATCTCCCTTTTATATATTACTGTTGTGATTGCTTCTTTAAAGTTTTTTGATGGATGTAACAGTTTATAAGATGACGTTATTATTATAATTTTTTAAAGGAATTCTGAGGTCTCATATCCAGGTTAAAAAAAGAATAAACACGATCGGTTTCGGAATATGTCTCTGCTATAATGTGTCTGTCTGCTCCGTTTTCATCAAACATGATAAAGCTGGCAGATAGATTGATAGATAGATTGCTTGGTCTATTATGAGTGGTATTAGCGATCTCCCTATTATATATCACATTTATGATTGTAAGACGTAACAAATTTGCGAAATGACGTTGTTTATTTTAAGGAATTCTGTGTTGGTCTCATCTCCAGGTTGTAAAATAAATAAATAAATGAATAAATAAACTGTATCGGTTTCAGAATTTGTATCTGATATAAACTGTCGTTATCATCCATTTGACTTGACGCTTCACTTTTAATTTCATTCGCCAAATATTTCACTTATTACCACACGAAGGCATTTTTTTGTGTACTTACTATTGTCTACACGCATGGCATATCATGTTTGCATATATGTATACGTTACGTGAACAAGAGTCAAATATAGATCTTTGACGTCACGAGTAAAAAGAAATACAATACTTTTCGCTGTTTTATTAAGATGCTATGATCACAACAGGTCAAATTCAAGCGAATATTTTCGCAAATCTTGATCAAAATTATATAAAGTGATAATAAAAACACCTATTTGTTTTATAGATGAATTAACGCGTGTTCTTTTCTTGCAAGTTTCTCTCTTTGTCTTTTATTTCACGTGATATTCCTCCCTTTTCTTTTCTTTTTTTTCCTATTCTTTTTCTTCTTCTTCTACTTCTTCTTTGTTCTTCTTCCTCTTCTTTTTCCTCTCCTTCTTCTTCTCCTTCTCTCTCTCCTTCTTCTCTTTCTCCTTCCTATTTTCTTCCTTTTTCTCCTTTTCCTTTTCCTTTACTTTTTTTCTTTTCTTTTTTTTTTTTTTACTTTCTCCTCCTTCTTCTCTTTCTTCTTTCAGTTGCAACGATTGAGGTGTGACGGCCGTATGGTAGGAAATTTCAATGGATTTTCACGTATTTATATCCTGTTTATATTGACTTCGGAGGCTGTGCAATAACAACGA